TCCTTTCCACACTCCCCCCCCCCAAAAAAAATTACTAGTTATTCTAAGTTTTGGGTTTATAGTAAAATAAAACAAACTTTTTTCTACTACATCTTAAGGGTACAGTGAAATTAAGTGAGTGTTATTGGAAGAGGGAAAAAAGATAGGAAATAAATTCTAGGTGTAATAGCATTTCTCCAATCATTTCACAAAGCATTTCCACAATATTGAACATTGTGTATTGAAATTACAGAAAAATACCAATATTTGGCTCCAAGACTGTGAATTCACCCCACTAGCAGTATTTTTTTCTCTTCCAAAAGTCATTCTTCCACACTGTGATCCCAAATTTCAAGGGCACAGAATGAAACTGTCCCGTTCCCATTCTAAATTCTGCTATACACACACCATGATCAACTGACTGCCTAGGGAGTGCATCTGCTGAAACACACTAGAAAAATAATTTCCCAGCCTGCAAACACTCTACATATTTTACCTGACAAAATGTGAACTGGCTAAGCTCCCACTAATTTTCAATGTCATAAAGTTCCACATTTATAGTTTATTACCTATATAATGATAACATCTCAGAATTTTATAGCAGGGGAAAACTGAAATAATTTTTGCTCATTGCAGAAAGATAAATGCTGAAGTGAATAAAGTTAAAAAATTGATGGTATATCTAGACTTTTTCATAAGTACGTACAATCATACATTAATATATGTATATTCACTACATATTAGCTATTTCTTAAAATATACACATATTTTATATACATATAACTTGTTCTTTACGAACATAATATACTATATTACTTTGAAATTTTTCATCATTTCACAAAAGATCATAAACATTTCTCCAAGTCAAGTTATATATGTATCTTTTTCGTAATAGCTAAATAGCATTCCACTGTATTATTCATTAATTTACTTATTCAAAAATTATCTATTAATTCCACTGGGAGTCGTCAAGTGCCAGGCACTACTGTAGATAATGGGAACATACTGGCAAACAGACAAAATCCCTGCCCTTGTGAAGGTCACATTCTGGTGGGGAGTGAAGAGACTATGCACAGACTAGAGACTGGGGAATGTACCCTAAGATACTAACCAATTCCCACTGAGGGAAATCCATGCTGTCACCAATTCTTTTAAATTTATTTTTGTTATTTTTTTACATTGACAAGTAAAAATGTATTTATTGTGTATAACATATGGTATTTAACACACTGACTGCCACACTAGAAAAAAAATTATTTTCCTTGGGGCCCTTTAACAAAAATAAAATAAAAACTTTGAAAACAAAATGATCCCTTCTAATTTAATGAAAAATTTGTTATTTTTTACTGTTTTCTGTGTGTGAGTTATATACAACTTGAAAAATAGTTCACACAGCTCCCAAGGTAGAGACATGTGAATTACATATGCTTCACAAGGCCCTGGGCTCAAAACTAGCATGAGTTAAATACAACTCACATGGTGGTTAATGTGTTAAGTATTAATATACATATTGTAGAATAACTAAATCTAGCTCATTAACATTTTTTTGCTACTATAAACCATGTGGTAATAAATAACTTTGTTCACAATTTTCTGCACATTCTTAGGAATAATCTTGGGCTTTAAATTCCTAGAACTTAAAGATTCAATCAAGACTAGCCTGGGCAACACAGGGAAACCATGTCTCTACAAAAAAAAAAATTAGCCAGGCGTGGCGGTGCGCACCTGTAGTCCCAGATATTTGGGAGGCTGAGGCAGGAGGATCATTTGAGCTCACAAGTTTGAGGCTGCAGTGAGCTATGATTGGACTCCTGCACTCCAGCCTGGGTGACAGAACAAAACTCTGTCTTAAAAAAAGAGTATGAGATTTCAAAAATCTGATAGATACTATTAAGCTTCCCTTCAAAGAGTTATGTCATTTTACAGTTCTACAAATAGCACATGAAGTATGTGTCCCCTCACACTTATTAAAAAAGTATTTTCAGTTCTGCCAATCTTAATGTGCTTGTTTCTTTTACCTTCAGTTAGGCTGAACATCATTCACAGATTAGATGGTGTTTACATTTCTTTGATAAGTTATTAGATGCTTTACTGATTTTCTACCAGGTTCTTTTTCTTATTAATTTACAGGTGCTTATTATATATTGTGGCTATTAACCATCTTTAGTGGTTATCAATATATTTTTGCCAGTTTATTATTTGCATTTTACATTTCCTCGTCACCAAATGTTTTCATTATTATGTGCTTAAATACACCAATCTTTTCGGTTTCAGTATTCCATATCAGGTATATAAAGGATTTCACCATGACGGTAATTTTTTTTCTTCTAGTACATTTAGAGATTTATCCTTCCTTTCAAACAAGTATGAAGTTAAATCTAAAATAGAGAAGGACCACCAAACCAGGTGGACAAATCAAGACAAAAAACTCCATTATTCCTCTCACTAGAGCACTTATAGAGATTTGTCAGAATTATCTTCCAAGAGATACAATGATTATAGCTTACAAATAGATATTTGCCTATCCATAGCAACTTTCTGAAAAAGATGCTGAATTTCATTATTTTGAATTCTTTGTTCACTATTCAAACTAGTTAGTTATATGGTTGACCAGCTAATCTCTAATTTAGCTGTTCTCAAAGAACACCTTACTATACTATCTTTCAGTACAAAGACTGAGATACACCATTAAAATCTTAAAATGGCAATATTTTTCTAATTTACTAGAAAAAAATAAGCTTGAGGATAGACTTTTCTCAATTTAAGATTTTCCTCCATGATTTTTTTTCATAAAGCTTAACATCACCTATTTCTTATCTACCAGAAGTGTCAAATGACAAAAATAAATATAAAAAATTATTTTAAATAAAAAAATAAAATAACCAATAATGCTTATCGTGAAAGATTCTCCTTATTGGTAAACACGATTTTACTTTTGTTTTTTTATTACATTTTATAATGTCTCCATATTTTGTGCAGGTAAAATTATTCCTAATTCAAAGAGTACTGCAACACTCAGGTGTTCCTCCACATATACAAGTTTGAGAACCACAGATACAAATAACTTGATTATTGTAACTGCTTTAAAATCTGTTTCCTATAAATTAATGACAAGTAGATTGTAGGTATGGACACTATATTAATCTTTAAGTCATTTAACAAATAGCTATGGTTCATATTTTGTGTAAATATTTTGTAGTAATGTTGGATTTCCTGAATTTAAACAGAAATTCCCAGGAACGTTAATTCTACAAGCACATTTATAGAAACTATTCTGAACATGCAATAATTAGTTATTAATTATTAACAGGTTCAGTGTTTTCAAAATATTATAAGAGTTCAAAACAAAGAGAAATGTTCAGACTCTTTAAATAGCATCAGGAAGTCAGTTTGGAGGCAGTGAGGTAAGCTATAAAATGCAGATTCAAATATTATAGAAAAATTACGTCTTCTAAAATGGGTCAGCAAAATAACTGTAATCGGAGAGAGAAAGGGAAATTAGGGGGAAGACAGAGAGAGAAGCATGTTAACAACTGATGAATCGGGGTGATGTTTATGTAAGAGTTCACTGTATTATTGAAACTTCACTGTAAATTTGAATTTTTCAATGAAAAGTTTCAAAAATTCACAGAGAAAAATAAGAAGGCATAAACAACTTTGGTCTTTCTATCGGGGCAAACCAATCTTGGGTAGAGTACATGAAGTTATGCTTCCCCTTAAACTGCGGCTTTTGAACTCTGAGCATGAAACGATGATGAAAAGGAGCTCTCCTCACCCACTTTCCACACCGCCATCCCCACCGTCCAGCCAACCCACTCCATTCAGCCTGTAGTCTGAAGATAACATGCTTTTGGACAAAGCACTGGTTTTAAGTACAATTGTTATCCAGATGAAAAAAGTTGTGCCTAAAGAGGGAATGGAGGTACATTCACATTCTGTTACTTGTAAAGCAGTTAACCATTCACTTTTAAATAAAGATTGAAAAAAATTCTCCAGCTCTAACAAAGCTTCTGAGTAAATTAATAACCTAACTCTGAATGAAAGATATAAATATAGCTAGATAGCAAATGAACAGAGACATCAATTTTATACCAAAGTTTTCTTTGAAACATGTTAACTCATAAATGTTATTTCTCTTCCTATAAGCATTTCTATAGAATCTAGCTTGCCCAATATTCGTATCATAATCTTATTTCCACAGACTGTATCTGGATTTCTGATTCATCAGGACATATTACAGGGACCCTAACATTCTCAACGGCCAGCAACTCAGATCCTAGGTCCACGGAAAGGAGACACACTCCCAACCACCTACTGAATCAGGGCAGACACGTAGGCAGTGGAGGCAGGACAGGGAGGACCTGTGGAAACCAGCAAGCTTATGACACAACTAAAAACCTGTCATTAGTTCCACCTTACTGTGCCAAGGGGGGTGCAGGACCAGAATCAGATATCTCCATTTCTCAAAAGGAACGCAAATATGAATTTTATACAAAACTTCCTAAAATTTTTAAGATTAACATCTTCTAAAATATTTAAAACACTCAGTAGCCAAACAAAAGCCTCTAAACGCTTCACCCAGCATCATCCGTTTATGACAACCTTTGCCTTAAAGCAGCAATGCACTTTCAAAGACCCCATTCTGGTTTGGTGATAGAAAAGGACTCACATTAATCTAACTGCTTCTTTGCACCCTATTTAATATGTCAAACTCGTATGTTATTTGAACCCATATCCTAATACTTAATGTTCAAAAATAAATCCACAGAAACTAATCTTTAAAAGAGGCAGTTCTTTCAAGAAAAATTCCACTATTTTACTGATAAATCTTTAAAACTGATTCTGTATACAGAAAGTAAGGAAAATTATTTTTCAACTTACTTTGATTTAGAGAATACAAGTAAGAAAAAACCAAATTATAGGAGTATAGGGTTTTTTTCATCCCAAGCATAACGAAGTACAAATTAAAGATAGAGTAAATCTATTTTGCATCTCATTTTTTTTTTCCTACAAATACTCACCTAAGGATGCATAAACAAATTTTGCCTCCTGAGGTGAGTCTGCAAAATCCAAACCTCTGTTTACTTTCAATGTCTGTCAGTACAAAGGTAAAGTGCTGTCCAACTTGGTTTTGAGTCACCCTAAAATTCAGAAACATTATGAAACATTAAGCCTTATGTGGTAATTTTCTTGAAGAAAAACAAAAGCAATAATATATTTATATGTATCATTAGTTTCATCTTTCCAATCAGCTGGTTCTTAAAGCTAGAACTATGTTCTGAAACTAAAATGAACAGATAACATAAACTAAATCATGCGTCAAAAACCCAAAATAAGTTGTAATACCTTACAGAGCAATTCAGCATATGCTAATCCCTTACTAGAAAATCAAAAGTAGTCTACCATAAGCTTTCATAAGACTAACAGTACTTATAAAATATTCCATAAATTATCAAAATACTATTTCTAAATCTGTAGAAGAAAAAAGCTGGGCATGATGACTGAGTCCTTTCCCTCAACTCCAGCCTATCTCCCCAATTATTCTAAAACTGCTTAGATAACAAATCATGATGCTTTAGAGTCTAACAGTAGCCACCACCAACTCTGTTTAACTGCTTCTCCTGTTGACATTCTCACCCAATAAAGTACCATACAAAATACTTCTGATATTTTTTCTTAGCATTCTCTTTTAGATCTATCAGTATATTGAGGAATGTATTTCCAAGTACAAAATAAAAAATATAATTTCTACCAAAAAACCTTACTGGCTAAGCTGTAAATAACCGTAGTTAATTTTGAACTAAGTATCATGCTACCATAGTATGTGTTGTACTACGGTATAAGGGGCAATAAAAAACATTAGATTGAATATTTATTTCTTTGTAAAATATATGAACATATTTCCTGGTCCTGCTATAATTTTGCCATTAGATAACCATAACTGAACTTTTGCTTCCTTGCCCCAAAACAAAATTTCCATGATACCTAAATTTTGTTTCTGAAACAACTATAGGAATTGTGAAAAAGGAAATAAATTACTACCAGTGTCCATAATACAAACTGTTTTGTTAGGAAATACTGAATTTCAAATGCTGAACATTTAACAAACACACTTTTAAGTGAACGGTTTTTCTTCTTAACTTTTATAAACTTAAAAAAAAAAACTCTCCAGTAACTAACAGGCCCTCTAGTGACCAAAGTTCACCATATTATTTTGTATCTTTTCTTCTTTTATTTTATTCTTACTATTAATTTGAAAATTATAACTTTTCTTTTGGGTGGTGGTGGGCAAATGACTCTTAGAAATGAGGTAAAACAAGGAGCATGATTCATTGCAAATACTTATTAGTATCAATTAGCCCATCACTCGAAAGGCTTTATCTTTAATATAGTAAAATTTTATAGTCTCACTAATCTTTACTTTGCAAAATACTTTCCTAAAATAAATTTTCTTCCAAAAATCCTTCATATCACACTCTTAAAAAAACTGTTAATAGAGTGTGAAAATCACATGAAAAACAATAAATGATCTGTTATTATGCTCAAAGGGCTATATATTCTATGAAATTCCAATTGCATGCAAGTATTTCATTATTTGTTCAGTAAAATATTAACTTCATGAGATTTTCAAAACCACGTGGAGAGTTTTCCTGTGGCCTTCCATAATATTGCACTATTTCTATAAAGCTATACTTGGGAGACAACTAGCCATGAGTTTTACAACATCACACAGATGGTCTTTTTAATTAGGATGAAGTGAGACAGAAATCAAGATATATACACACAATTTTAAAACACACAATTCTAAGGCTCTGATCAAGAACATATTAATATTTGTTTCTGCTAGTGCTCACGATTTGTAACCGAAGAATAAAGGGAAAAAATAGAACCTATTGGCAATACTGTTTTAAGACTTCTAACTAGCCACAGCAAAGATATGATGATTTAAAAGGCTTCTTCATTCCAAATATTAATTTTGAATACCTAGCCTTTGTTGTTAGAAGCAGTGAAGAAAAGGTACATTTCATTTTATAAGAAAGCACATGTAATCATTTTAAAGTGTGCACTAAGATAAGCTCAAATTATTTTAAATGATGATTATACTGTACCTTTTAACGTCAAAGGGGAAACAGAACTTTGGCACGCTCTGTAGTACTTCCTACAAATGCAAATTAAAAAAAAAAGCTTTAGAATATTTTCTTAAAGATGCAGTTAAAACTTTTCTGAGACATTTTCTAGGAAAGAAAAAAAGTTTTTTTTTCTTAAGAAAAACGGCACAGGTTCCTAGACTAAAATAATTGATTATTAAAAGGGAATTAAGTTTGTGCTTTGGCAGATTGCACCGACAATGCCACAGCAGCCCCAGGGGGGAAAGGCCTGGCCTGAAGGGCATTAACACCCTTCACATCCCCGCTGGGATTCCCTTCAACGAGGCCATATGGATTTCACAAGAAGCACCGCACCATATGGGTAAGCTACGTCTGCTACCACTTGTACCACAGACTAGCCATAGGGACTTCTGACAGATCCTGGCTCAAAAATATAAATGTTGTTTCAATTAAAATGCAGGCAGAGAAAAGGGAATGAAGTTGGCAGCAGAATAAATTACTGAGAGGTATAACAACTCTACATGTCCCATAGTCAGACAGTTAAAAAAAAAAAAAAAACACAAAGAGGCTATGCCTAAAAAAAACATATTTACATGTTTCAACTCTTGGTACTAAGTTTTACCGTAAGTGACACTCAAAGAAATGTGTATCTAAAAGCAAGCCTTTAAATTAAAACACAGCTTATATTCTGTGTACTTTCATTTAGGAATTGCCTAATATGGAAATCAATGTTTTAACTAAACAAAGAAAATAATCTGATTGATTTTGAAATCTTCAATAATTTTACAGTCACTATAAAATAATTTTTAGATCTTTTGGAAATCATATGCATTAACAATTATAACAAAGCACGAATAAGTGTCAGCTACTTCGCAAAAAAAAAATAGAAAAAAATCTATTTTGCTATATTTGAAAAACAACTTAAAATTAACTCTGATTCAAAAGTTAAACTTTAAACTTGAAGACAACATCATACAAGGTCAAATTCAGGTGATTTTATAAGACAAAGCAGAGATTCATGAGGATGTTTCCTATCAAAAAGAAAAAAAAGCAAATATCTTAATGCAGTAGTTATTCCCCCTCCAAAAAGAAATACCGCACCTACCACCTCTTTGCCACTGAGATTCAGATCCAGAGAAATTATCAAGATCTGAATATTTAAACCCTGTACATAAATATGGTAGTGAGGATTTTAAAGTAGAATTTCTTGCAGTCCTTTGAAATGTAGACTGCAATAGGTGTTCATTAAAAATAAAACATTGTAAAATTCCAATACCAATACCTAATAAAGCTTCAAGAGTCTTAACTCACATAAGCAGAGAGAAAAGCATTATATGAAGAAAACCATTTTCTGCTCTTAGGGTAGAGCACCCTGATTTGCTTATGAATGAACACGCACCTTTGAGAGTGTGAGCACAGACTCCACAGTTAGAGAAAGCTATTTTACTGATGACACTATTTTGTTTAAGGAAATTAAAAGTCACTAAGCTTGAAATAAGTTAAATTACGTAAACTGGAAAACAGTTCATTACAGACGAGAACAGTTCACTTTGACTTGACCATTGCTTAATCCTTATCTTGTGCTGCATAAAGTGAAGCCATTTGCCACATTAACTACATATACAAACACTACTCAGATATCCTCCTGCAAAACTGGCCACATATAGTTTCTGTTAATAAAAAATATATATTCGAAATTCAGTGTCTGCCTCTCAATATACCCAAGTTACACATTTCACATCAGTTCTCGGACTGGAATTAAGAAGAATGCGTCCCAGTCTGTGGCTCTATCTTTTGCACACCTCCTCCCTGCATGGGCAACACGCAAGCACATGCTTCTGCACACAGCCTCAGCTCGCTTCCCAACTGGCAGAAGCATCCCTCGGGGGACAAGTCTTTAAACCTCCGCACTCTTTAAAATTCAACCAGCCAGCAGGTCTATAGACTAGTGTATAAACAGTATAGACAAAAAAACCCTCTCTCAGCTCATGTCAGTGACAAAGCAGCTCAGCAGTTGACTGTTTCTCCCGAGAGCGTGAGCTGGGTTTACGCAGATCAATGGCTGGGAGTCCCCCCAGCTCCCAGGACTCGGCTTTCCTCCTTAATTACAGGTGCTATTCAAACTGAAGTTTAAAAAGGAAAAAGAGAGAGTCTGTTGAAGGGAGGAATAAAATGCATGCTGATGGCTTCTTTGGAGCCTTATATAACGGTATTAATTGAAAATTATGCTCCTTCATTTATTGGAAAAGTGTTCACAAAGGCTGGTATTTCCACTACATGAGACACACATAAACACACATACAACGCTCTAGGTTAGCATCCACAGATTATGTGAAAGGGTTAAGATAATACTCTCCAGAAGTTACCTATTTCCCCTTTTTCCACAGGCTTTGGCTTTTAAAGAAATTTACTTAGCCAAAAAAAAAAAAAAAAAACTATTCGGGTTTCAGAATCCTCCCAACTCTCCAAAATGTTTTATTTTTATACACAAAGAACTTATTGGCTAACACATGTTAAATGACAAAAACGGGAATAACAAAAAGAATGCAACAGAATACAAAACTATGAATGGTAAATACAAAGGGAAATAATACATATTTCTGTATATGCCCTAAAACAATATATCTACCATCATATTAATGACTGGAAATAAGGACTGATGAAAATTTATACTGGCCCCACCCCCACACCCTGGGGGTTGGGGGAGAAATTTATACCCTGGGGTTTTCTTTTTGATCCTGTATCAGTGTATCATTATTAATAAGTATTATAATAAAATTGATCTTGGAAGAGAGAAGAGAGTAAACTGGTAGTGTTAGAGTGCTATATTAACTCTTCATCCCATGAAGTTATCATTTAAAACTATAAATTGATCAACTAAAAAGGGAAGAAAAAAATCTACTTTTTAAAAAATGCTGAAATATGTAAAGTTTACATCTTGATCAAAGTTCAGTAACTACAAAGGTCTTAGAATTTCTCTGAGAAAAATCTGAGATGAAATGAGACATGTCCTTGTTGATACCAACTGTTTTTCTTCCTTCTCAACTACCTCTTCCCCTACCCTACACTGAAATACTGGTGTTCCCTGAAGTTCCGCAGTTTTCTTTCTTCCCTTCTTAAGGTACATCTGCTAGGCCGTCTCATCTACACCCTTGGTTTCAACTACAACTGCTAAATCTCTTAGTCTTGTAGTTTAGACATTTCTGTGAACTCCAGGATTACATATCTAGTTACTTTTTAGTATTACTTCCTGGATGCGCCCAGACACTCGAATTCAGAATGTACCAAACTGAAGCCAGTTCTTTTAGCTGTAGTCCTTATCTCAAATGGCAAAACCTTCAGCCCAGTTACCCAAACCAAAAACATGCTAGTCATCTAGATCCCTGTCTCCTGACTCCGGTATAAAATCAATCATTCACGAGGTCCCTTAATTCAATTTCATATCTTGCTCCAGAAGTTAATGGGAGAGTAGAAAGGATTAGAAGAAAGATGACAAGATAGCAGAATCACCTGGGAGATTTTTTTCAAATCAAATCTGATTGCCTAAATTCATAAGGGTCCTGAGTCTTTAACTTCAGTTTGAATAGCATCTATAATTAAGGAATAAGACTAACTGTATCAGTTAAGGATGCTTCATATATATAATAAATGGTTACACTCTCATAGCAAGAAGTGACAAGGCAGACTTGTTCAGGGACTGTTTAATCAACATCCTCCTTAAGGACTCAAGAGCCTTCTCTCCACTGGGCACAGGCGCGGTGGCTCACGCCTGTAATCCTAGCACTCTGGGAGGCCAAGGCAGGAGGATCGCTTGAGCTCAGGAGTTTGAGGCTGGGCCACAATGATGCCACTGCACTCTAGCCAGGACAACAGAGTGCAATGAATTGACTACTTGTCAATTTTAATCTAATTTTTCACAAAGGCTATGGGTTTCTAAAAAGATAACTACTTAATTTTGAATAGTATCTCCTCAAATAAATATTAACTAATATAATGTATTCATTCAATCTATTTATGTTTTACACAAGGGAGTAATAAACTTTTTTTGCTTAAAAGAAACACTGACGGAGCCAACTGAGCCATGAGCAGGCTGCGCAGCAGAGCTAAGACTCCCAAACTGTGCGCTGAGATGTCCCACGGAACCAGAGCACACTTTCGGGGACAATGCCAAATACTTTAGACTTTCAAAGGAAACACAGCTACATTAACAGTTCGATTACATCAGGATACATTTTATTAAGAGGGGGCATTACATGAATATGACAAATCACAGAGAAAGCCTCGCCAAATACCGTATTCTTGCTCTTTTTAAGAAGTGTTTAAAATTTGGAAAATCTGTTTTAAACTTAAGCCGGATACGGTGGCATGCACCTGTAGTCCCAGCTACTTAGAAGGCTGGGGAGGGAGAATAGCTTTAGCCCTGGAGTTCAAGCCCAGCCTAAGCAACGTAGTGAGACCCTGTCTCAAAAAAAAAAAAATAATAATTAAATTAAAATTAAAAAATAAAATAAAAATTTTAAACTTACAGCCAAGAAATAACTGTCAGGATAAATGAGCCCAATGTAGGAATTTTCTTTTGGATTTTACTTTTATGTATTGTTTCAGTTAGAAATAAATTTCTTTTACCCCTCCTCCTTAAATTAGGGAAAACACCCTAAGTCTGTGAATTCTGACACACAACTGTTCAGATTGTTAACTCTGATCAAGTTATTTTTCACTATCAAAAATTTAAAATAAAGTTTTACTATTAGAAGATTTAAATAACTATCATGAAGCAAATACTTTCTGATATAAAAAGAACTGTGCTGTGAAATATAAATTTCAAAAATTTTGGTTCTATGTATATTGGTCTTAGGCCAGTGACGAGACCTTTGTAGTCTACAGATCACTCTAGCTTGAGCAAATGTCAGTGAGAAAGCCTACATCGGAAGCAATGCAGAATGACATCACCAAAAAAAAAAATCTGCAGGTTCTATATCCACAGGCATAACCAACTGTGGATTGGAAATATTTGGGGAAAAAAAAACAAAAAATAATATAAATACACCAA